TTTTTAACTTCATGAATGGACCTCATAGATTATAATTCAAAGACCCATAGAAAACTATTGTATGTCATGCTCATATAATAGCAGTGTTCTAAAATGCGTAATGCGTTACGATGCGTCGAGGTCGAGAATCAAGAATCACAAATTAAGCGTGTTAATGCGGAGAATATGCGTTATAATGCGTTTCGTACTTTTAATATTATTTTAATATAATAAATAAATTTTTATATTTAAAAAAAACAATTTTTTATATCATATCAAAAAAAAAAAAATTTAGACGTCTCAATGCACGCCTAGGCGCACATAGGCTCTCCTGATGCTCGCCTATGCGCGCATTGGCGCGCATTGAGATGCCTAGGCGGTCAACAAAAACCGTTGACCGCATTTTTACCCGCATTGCCCATTTTGACGCGTTTTGTACGCGCGTCGCACCTAGGCGGCGCATTTGCGCGCCTTTTAGAACATGGCTTAAAACAGTAAATATTCCTGTTTACACACTATATTCTTGTTTCTGTTTCAGGAAGTCGAGTTTTTAAAATGCTTGGACTAGTGATTTATATAATTTTAGGGAAAATGGAATGTGTAATGAAGTAAGTTTCATTTATGCTTCATATACAGGCAGATGAAGATGAAGATGATAAAATGGAAGAAAAAGGTCCTGATTCTGATGTTTATGTTGAGAGTGAAAGGTATATTTTCTCTTTGATAAAATGGAAGAAAAAGATCTTGATTCTGATGTTTATTGTGTGCTCGCAGCAATTCTATACCTAACAGAGTGAGGATGAAATCTGTTGAACCTGAAGAGAACGATAAGGTATGTCTTGTTCCTTCTCTCTTTTCCCCAAGCACCCCCTTCTTAATTTTTTACTGAAAGTAGCTAGTTTCCTTATCAAATGACCATTGCGAAAGGATACATGTCAAAAACATCATAATCACCAAATAAATTTGAGGAAAGAATTGTCTATAGTTGTTTTCTAACAGTTTGATGTTCGGATACTTAATGGGGGGTGGAGGAGGAGGAGGGGGGCAGCTCTCCATTCTCTATACCCCTTAACTATTGAGACTTGAACCAACAATTACGAGCAGGTGTATAATGTTGGAAATTTACTTAACATGCACAGAGGAGTTTAAACAAAACTTTCGATTCCCACCCTGGATCTTCTTTGGGCTTAGAGAGAAACTATGATAAAGAATTATATCTTAACAAATTCCTTGAAGATCAACTTTGATTTTCAATCCACAACTGTCCAATTGTTGGGCCTCCACAGAGAATAGGATGAGAGAATTAGGGTTCTCTTATCTTGTTTTTGCAATAATAATGAATTGTGTTATGAATTTTCAAACCCTAGCAACTTATTAATAAAAGTCAAAGTGGGGTTACCCCGTCTATTAAACTTAACCCAGTTCAATATTTAATTAATGCAGTTAAATAAATTTGACCCTTAAATTAATTAATTCAATTAATAAATTCGGGCTCATTAAAAAGCAACCAAATTAATTAATTCTCCAAAAATTTTAATTAATTAATTGTGAATCTCGTTCTTCTACTTCTCTCTTTGTGTGTGATCCATTAGGTTCCCGATCATGAAATCAAACGATCTGAATTATAATTTTGATCTAATCAAAATCGAAAAATTAAATTATTATTTTTTAATTTATCACAATTTCACATCCGTCGTCCCAAATTGACATCTTGCAATGTGTTAGGACAATACATATGATGGAAAATGTCACGTGATATAACAAAACTAAACTTGTTTGTTTACCGTGAAACTATTATCCTTTAATCAATATGATCCGATCAATTACGAGATATTGATATATGTCAATTTCAATTATCGATCATGTTTTTCATCCCACTATTAAGTCAATATAAGTCAAAAACTCTTTTTTGATTTTCGAGTATACCTAGGCCGAATATTTTATTATCAACTTAAATGAATGAAATGTAGATCATAATCTCTTACTATTTAAGAGTGATTAATATTGATCATTCACAACCTTCATATGATTCTTGACATACCCAAACGATATCGTGTTACTGACCCTTGGCAGAGCAACATCTAATATCACCAAAGTATGATTTTTCTCATATAAGACACTATGATGACCTCAAGTCGAATGACTAATTCCACTGCTGAACGTTAGAGATTTACCAGTAACACTCAAATAGTTATCCATGTGGAATCTTCCCATCGAGTCTCTAATATTTTGTTCTATAACAAAACATTCATGTGTTTGTTTAAGTGTCACCATACTTTATAATGCAGACATCATCGAGATTTATTTTTTATTGTTATTGGGCTTGCCCATATAGATTTATTTTTATTGTGGATTTTATTATATATTTTTTCTATTATCGGGCTTGTAGTATTGGGTTGGCCCAAACCGAACAGTAAATGAATTGATAAAATTTCAATTGGCGATTACAAACTTTTTCTCCACTTCCCCTTATTTCTTTTCTTCTTCTGCCTGCTTTTCCTCTGTTCTTCTTCTTCTTCTTTTTCTTCTTCTTCTTCTTCTTCTATTGCTGATAAGTTCATAATTTGGTTATATGTTGAATGCTTTGAACTTCTACATCAAATTTGGTATCGGAGCTAAACCTCAATTCTGTCATTCTCTTGCATCCTAGAACCTGCATATCCTAGTATCATCATCTTCAAACTCCATCCCCTGCTACAATATTCAGTCCACTACACAACCACATCAATCACCAGTTTTTCCAATCACGGCTGTCCATCTACATCTAGTTCTGATAGCACATCTTCTAAATCACCAGATTCTAGCGCTCCAACCACCGCCATCATCAGTAACTACCTGTAAAAAAAAATACCCAGCCCATTTTCACAAACAATAACCGCCGACAATCAATAAACCCATTAACAGCAAAACACCGCCCAAACTACAAATTGACCCATCGCTTTCTCCATTTCGAGCCACTACAACGCCAGCTATGTCGACACACCAGCAGACCCACAACCATTCTATATCCATTCTCTCTGAAATTACCGCAATCAACAAACACCCAGTCACCCACTCGTACGTTGTCGACACCGCTATTACAGAGCTTCTGGTTTGGTATTTTTGGGCCTCATTTGGGGCCTATTTATTCCTGAGTAGTGCTTAACTTGATTGGTACTTTGGGCCTCAGTTTTTGTAATTTTCTTTTAGTTTAAAAAAAATAAGGAAGTGTGAAAAAAGAGTATTCTCCAATATTTTTAGATACCTCTCTTTGACCTGCTAATCGATTCAGTTATTTCAACGGACAAGACAAGGAGTTACTGTTTCTTTATCTTTGGTACTTAGTTACTTTGTGCTGGGTTACTTGGACGAACAAAAATGGGAGCTACTATTTCTTATCCTTAGTTTACATTACTGTTTCGTTTAAAATTGTATCAATTAAATTTTTTTGTCGCTGTTATTCTAATCTTTACCCACAATTCACGTCCCTAAATTCCTAACCTTGTTATATTCCCACTTTTATCTTACTTATTTTACGTGATCAAGTTGTTGATTAGTATTTTACCCTTTCTCTATTATTTTACATAGATTAGTAGTATTAGCTTGCCGTATTTGAATTTACATAATCCAAAAAAAATTAAATTTAAAACTAAATGTAAATGCTCAGGTTGTTGTTTTCAGTTTTATAACCAGTCATTTATTGATATTTTCAAATACTTCATTTAGCTGGTAGTACATTACATGCAGTTGCATAGAGGTTGTCTTGTCATATTTAGTTCTAGTACACTTCATTTAGCTAATAGTACATTGCATGCAGTTGCATAGTGGTCGTCTTGTCATATCTAGTTCTAGTACCCTAACAATGGAACCATCCCAATTTGATGCCATCACTCGACAATTAGCACAACTTGCCACTAACCAACATCAGTTACAAAGTCAATTAGCGGTTGTCCAAATTGAGATGGCTACTACTCGTGAAGAAAATAGAGACTTAGCTAATAGGTTTCCACCGTTGAGCAAACCCCACATTCCACTGAAGCTGAAAACTCGGAAGCGTCCAATAATAGGCGTTATCGTCGTCCCTAAGGAGGCCAACAGCACGTTAGACGTGATCGTAGGAATGGACATCAAATTCGCGAATGGGAGCGAGAACATCATCATTACGCTACTATGTCTACTCCTCGAAAAGATGAGCGTTTCTTTAGAAACATTAAATTAGATGCCCCAACCTTTGATGGTTACTTAGACCTTAGGGATATGGACCGTTTCTTTGCCTGGTATGGAGTCCCAGAAGATCGGAGAGTTGAATTTCCTAATCTGAAATTAACTGGCACTGCTCAACTCTTTTGGGAAAGTATTGAGGAGCTCCTTGAGAGACGCAGTGCTCTCCTTGTTGGGAGTTGGGATGAAATGAAGCGTAGACTTCAAGAGAAGTACTTACCCCAATCATATAGGGATAATTTGTTGGATAAATGGAAATACTCTTACGCAAGGCAATCGACCAGTAACTGAGTACGTCACTCAATTTGATAAATTTTGAATGAGATGTTAGGTTGTTGAGGATGAAGCCATGACCTTAATTAGGTCTAGGCAAGGCCTTAGAGATGATCTTAAATGTGAGCTTATCCTTCGGGGTGCTACTATTCTTGACCGCGCTTATTTTTTCGTCCGAAAGTATGAGTGAGTTACTAGGGTTCCGTATAGAAATTGTGGTGACAACCGTACCCCATCTCTTTAGCACCCATTTCTCCCCCTAAGTCTATCATGGGCCTTCCCCATCTAAAATTCCTCTTGTAGGACAAAAATTAAGGTAAAGATCCTGAAGTTCCAAAAATGTCCTCCCGTTTGCAATGCTTTAACTATAAGGATTTCAGTCACATTTCCTCTAAATGTCCTAGTAGGAAGGAGCGAAAGGGTGTAGTGGATGACCCACTGGAGGATTAAGTTTATGAGCCTAAGTTTGAAGAGTTTGAGAACTTGGATGATAATGAAGATACCTTCTTAGGTTGTATTCGAACCTCTCCGTGGGTCTAAGGTCATGACCCCTTATTCCCGACATGTCTAGATCAGATATTATATGTTATACCCTAACTCAACCTAAAAATGTTGATCATTGGCATCGTCATGCCATTTCCACACTTATATCAAGGTTAATAATAAGGGTTGTAAAGTCATTGTGGACAGTGGTAGTTGCATTAATGTAGTTTCGATGGCTACTGTATCCCGTCTTAGGTTGAAACCATTTCTTCACCCTCAGCCATATAGCGTCTCTTGGGTTGATACTTCCTCAATAGCTGTAAAAGAACATTGTCTAGTACCTATTCAATTTCTAGAGTATAAAGATCATATATGGTGTGACGTCATTTCAATGGATGTCGGTCATGTCATTTTTGGTCGACTTTGTTGTTTAATTTAGATGTAACTATTTATAGTCGGTCCAATTTATGTTCCTTTGTGTTTAATAGAAAGAAGATTCGCCTTAAACCATTATTCCCAAAACCTGTTGGCTTACATGAGGCAAAGAAAAGATAGGAAAGTAAAAGGTTACATAGCATTAACCCTACGGAGTTCGAACGCACACTTGTGGTGATTCTGTCGTGTTTGCCTTGGTTGTCATGGAGGTTCCATTGAATTTCTCAATATTAGTACATTCTAAAGCCCAGGAAATCATTCAAGAGTTTTAGGATGTCTTCCTTGAGGACCTACATGACCAGTTACTTCCATTACAGGACATCCAACATGCTATAGATTTGGTCCAGGGAGCGTCGCTTTCAAATTTACCTCATTATAGGATGAACCCTACTGAGCACGCTGAACTTCAAAGGCAAGTGGATGAACTCCTTCACAAAAGAT